ATTTAGCAATTTTATACCCTTTGACAGTTGCCAGCTGTCAAATGAGTTGTCAACTTTTATAGAAATCAGATTTCAAAGAGTTTTAAATCAATTATCACAAAAAACTTCGAAAATTGCTAAATGAATATTTTTTTCTAAAAATAATTTTTTAAAGACAAATAAACTTTAAAATATATGTAGTATAAAAATATTAATTATTACGTGCCACTTGGGTACAACTTATTATATGTATTTACATATTTGATTTTCATAATTTAATTAATTAATTAAAAAATTATATTTTGTATTAATTTGTCTAATACATATATGTTTTTAAGTTTAATTTTTTTAAAAATTATTTTGAGGAGGAAATAATTTATTATAAATTTTAAAATTTATAAGAAGTAATTGGGAACGTCTTAAAAATCCTATTTAATAGAAGTTGACTACTAAATTGACAGCTGTCAACTGCCAAAATATATTAAATACCTATATATGAACTAAATTTACCTACAGAACCGTTTTTTTTGATAATTCATTTAAAACTCTTTGAAAACTGATTTTTATAAAAGTTGACGACTCATTTGACAGATGGCAACTGTCAAAGGGTATAAATTTGCTAAATATAAACTGAAATATTCACAAGAAACTTTTTTATTCGTAGAAATTAATGTAAAAGTCGTGAAAATTCTCATCTTCAAAATTTGACAGCTTTTTTGACAACTGGTAGCTGTCAAAAGTTATTTTTGACATCATATTCGTGTTCAGCGTACGAAAAACTATGGGAATACTTAGACCCAAGTCAAATTTTTAAAAAATGTAAAAGTTATAATACAAAGTTTGCAGAAGTGCACCAAACCCATGTTAAACCCCATTTAAACTTTAACCCTTTTGCGGCACGGGTTAAAATTTATCAAATGGGCTGTTCTTTTGGGTATCTCATTTTTTTCACATTTTAATTCAAATTCCGGCCGGCGACCTTAGAAATTCCAACTTTTCTAAAATAAGAACCACCCTAATACCCATGGGCGCCTCAATTTCTCCAATTCTTGCTGACATAGTTATGCAAGATTTGGAAGAAACTATAATTAATAATTTAGATTTTCCAATTATTTCATATAAGAGATATGTGGATGACACTTTTTTATGTGTTCCAAAAAATAAAGTATCCACAGTTGTTAATGCCTTCAATTCCTTTCATGACAGATTACAGTTCACTCATGAATCAGAATGTAATAATGAAATAAATTTTCTCAATTTAAGGATTATAAGATCAGAAAACAATAATATCATTACTGATTGGTACAGAAAAGATACTTATTTAGGAAGACTACTGAACTATTACTCAAATCATCCAATACAACAAAAAATTGCAATTATTAAAAATCTTGTTGATACTGTTTTGATACTTTCCGATAAAAAATTCTATAATAAAAACATAAATTTAGTTAAATTAGATTTAAAACTTAATAATTATCCTGAACAATTTGTTAACAATCATGTGAGAAAAAGAATTATTGAAATTAATAACAGAAAAGCTTCAAATAACATTATTGACAACAATAGTAATAATAATACGTTAGTTAAGAAAATAGTTTTTCCTTATTATGGACCAATATCGGAAAATATCAAAAGATTACTTAAAGCTTTTAACATTCAAACAGTTTTTAGTGTTAACTCTAAATTTAATAAATTTATTAAGCTTGGTAAGGATAGACTCGAGAGACACAATCAATGTAATTGTGTCTATAGATTCCAATGTAATTGTGGTAAATCATACATAGGACAGACTAAAAGACCCTTGCATATTCGTAGAAAGGAACATATGAGTAATTCTAATTTAAATGATAAATATCATAATGCTATTACTAATCATTTAACTAATTCTAATTGTGATTCCTCTCCACATTTTATAAAATGGGATGATTTTAATATTTTAGATGTTGAGCCAAATCTTAACAAACGATTAGTATCAGAAATGTTTTTCATAAAAAAAGAAGGAGAGAATAGTTTAAATAAAATGACCGACTTGGATAATTTTGATAAATCGTACGAAATGATTTTGAATTTTATTTCCAGCAATTTAACGTAATAAATACTCATTGAGTTTCATTCTCTGTTCTTATTTAATTTATTGTTTTTATTTGTTTTTGTTTTTCTCTGTTTAATAAATGTTCATTGTAATGACTGGATTAGAGTTTGGAGCTCAGTTTTAAATTTGACTTTGCAGTTTGCAATACGTTTCTACTCATTTTGACAAATTATTTTTCTATTTTATTTTATTGTGAATTATTGTATTGTGAACCTTTATTTATTTAATTGTTTATTATCTATGTGTTATTTACTATTATTTATGGTTTTATACCAAGACGGATTATTTATTTATGGTATGTTTTTACTATTTTTATTTTTATTATTTTCATTATTTGTTATTTTTTATTATTTACTATTTTTATTTTTATATTTATTTTTACTATTTTTTAATTATTACTAATTCTTCATAAATTTTAAATTTTTATTAATTTTTATTGTTATTAACTTGTTACTAATTTCATTTTTTAAATTTTTTTCAATTACTATATATATATATATATATTTTTTTTTTTTTAATTAAATTTATTTTATGAATATTAAGTTCCTTTATAATTTTCTGACTCTAGATTCTACTCCATCGTCAGGGCATATGAAATTTAAGTCTTCGTATGTTTTAACTATTATTTTTTTGGTAAGATAATTATACAATAATTTTTATTTTATGTATTGTTAAATTATTTTTTTATTTATTTATTTATTTATTTATTTTTTTAATTATGTATGTAATTTTTATTATTGTTTAATTTTGTTTATTTTTTTTGGATAGACTCCCTGAAGAGGAAATCATTTAGATTTCGAAACGTTGGAGTAAATAAATATTTTATTCATTGTCCGAATGTTTTCGTTTAATTTGCCTTAATTTATAAAGGATCTCGGACGTTAAAGATTATAAACTAACTAAATAATTAAAGGTTTTATATTAGAATTCGTGGTAATTTCGTAGTTTATAAAGTATACAAAAAAAAGCAAAATAGAGAATTTTCTCATGCACAAGCATTAATTGTTAATAAAAATAATTAAACAATATTTTCTTTTTATATAAAAATTTATTCAATATAAAATTTAAATATAATAAAGAGATATTAATAACCTAAAAATGATATATTTCTTTAGAGAATGTACTAAAATAGAATTCTTAGTACTAAAATTTAAAAAAATTTAGTACTGAGAATTTCCTCCACTTGAGTAGTTTTTCCAACCCCTTCGGCCCCTTCCGCATCCATGGTATCCTCGACCGCAATATCCGCGGCCACGACTTGCTCCAGTGTCCTAAAAAGATAAAAGGAAATGTATACAAACATTTTTTTTAATTATAAAAATGTTCAGATCATAAAAAAATGTTCTATTGCATTTATTTACGAATTTTTTTAATTGCAAAATTATTTGAAAACACCAATAAATTTTTTAAAATAAATATTCAACCAATAATTTTTCACAGAAATTAAGATTTTCAAAAATTTCAAATTCAAACATTTTTGAAATAATTCAACAACTTATAATAAGAAATATGATCGAGTTAATCAATTCAATTATTTTTTACAATTTTTACCTAATATTTCTCTGTAAATCAATTATTTAAAAAAATTTTTAAAACTTCTTTAAAAATTTTCAAATCTATTTGAAATAAAAACTTCAAATAATTTTAAAAAAATTTACTTAAACTTATTTAAAAAAATTGATTCTACAGAATTGTTAGTTGAAAGTATGAAAAAAAAATTTCAAAGACTTTAATTTTAAATCTGTTCAAAATTCAATTAATCTAAAACTATTTATATTTTACAAAATTAAATAATTAGCCATTAGAGTTTTTTCAAAAGAATTAAGATTTTTAAATTTAAAACTTAATGCAATTAAACAACTTATAAAAAATTGTTAAAAAATATAACCGACTGATAAAATCATTATTTTATATTATAAGAATATTGTTACTGGAACTTTTTTAAAATTACTGTCATGATTTCAATTTAATTATTTTTTCCCAAATTTTTAACTAAAATTCTTGTATAAATGCAATATTTTTAATAATTTTCAAAAAAGTTTTTTGAGTATTTTCAAATGCATTTGTTTGAAATTTAATTTTACAAAATTTTAATTATTCAAAAAATCTTTAATTAAATATTTATTAGAAAATAAAAACTTCAAATAATTTAAAAAAAACCGCAATTAAACTTTTTCAAAAAAATTTATTCTACAGAATAAAGACTTTAATTTGAAATCTGTTCAAAATTTAATTAATCTAAAACTATTTACATTTTATAAAATTAAATAATTATTCAAATTACTTTCATCATTTCAATTCAATTATTTTTTTCCAGAGATTTTTAACTAAAATTCTTCTATAAATACAATATTTTTAATAGTTTTCCAAAATTTTTTTTGAGTATTTTCTAATGCATTTGTTTGTAATTTAGTTTTACAAAATTTAAATTATTCAGAAAATCTTTAATTAAATATTTTTTAGAAAATAAAAATTCAAATAATTTAAAAAAAACCTCAATTAAACTATTTAAAAAAAAATTAATTTTACAAAATTGTTATTTGATAGTATGAAAAATGCAAATTTTCAAAGATTTTAATTTAAAACCTGTTCAAAATTCAATTTTTTCTAAAAATTCACGTTGTATTGCTTTTAATATTTAATTTTTATCTAAAATTTTAACTAAAACTAATTTTTAAATCAATTTTTATTAGAAAATTCTGAGAGAATTCAATTATTTAAATAAAAAAAAGTTTATTGAATAATTGAAAATTTATTAAAATTGAGTTCTCATAAAGAATTTCATTAACGAATTTTCAAATAATTGAATTGTTGAAAAATTTGTAAACAATTTAACTCCTGTAAAATTTTTATTATTTATGAAATTAGTTAAATAAGATTCTTACCGCATCTTGGCTCCATGTTGCTGACTCATTAACCCCAGGAATACGCTGCGTATGGTGCTGGTGATGGTGCCGCATAAGGTTCTGGTAATGTTGCGTAAGGTGCTGGTAGTGCGGCGTAAGGTGCTGGTGCGTAAGTTGCTGGTGCGTAAGGTGCTGGTGGTGCGGCATAAGGTGCTGGTGGTGTTGCGTAACAGCGGTTCCACATGGAGGCAAAATCGCAAAGTCGTTGCGACTGCCGTACCCCCACCAGCACTGTGAATCGTACCGACGCCAGTGGTATATATATAAAGTGTAAAAAATTAATTATTAAAGGAATACTTGAATTATAATTTATAAGTTTTGCTATATTAACAGAATTTTTAAACTAATAAATATTTATTATTTCAATTACATGTTAATTATTTTTATTGGTTATTAAATGAATATTTATTTTTTAATATTAATTAATCATTAAATTTCACTAAAAATTTATTTTTAGGTTATGCCAAAACAAAGTTAAATTTACTTTTCCAGGTATGGAATTCTACATGTCATATGCAGGGAAAAACTTTTTATGATTGTGGTTTAATTTTTCGTACGAATTCCGGAGATTTTTCTAAAATGAATTATGCACGTGATTTTTGCTAAAAAAAATTTTCTTTAAGGGGGGAACCTCCTTTAGACGATCGAAAAATGCATCATTTTTGGGATCTTTTTTCTCGGGTAAAATAACTCCAAACGTTTTGTAATTTATATGGTGCTTTAATACATGTCTTGAGAGTCTAAAAAAATTTTTGGAGAAAAAACAAAACATTTTTAGTATGGAAATATACATAGCGTCCTTGGCACCTCATTTTATCTGTGAACATTCTAGCGCTCTGAATTTTTTTCTAAAACAAAGAAACTAACGTTTTTTTTAAACTTTAGGATAATACCTTCTATATGACATTTCGATTTTTTTTAAAAAATTTCGAGAATTGATTTTTTTTACCCACTTTTAAGTTAAAAGTGATTTTTCGTGCATAAAAATTAACTTTAAAATTTCAAAAAAATATAAAAAATTTTTTTTTTCAAGAAACACTTAATGTCATATTGAAGATTATTTAATTATCTTTAAAATGATGTATCATAAAGCCCGATTGGTTCAAAAGGGCGTTCTCAATCGTGTTCACAAAATTAAAAAATGGTGTTTCGAGAAAAATGCGTTTGAAGTTTTTTTTTTAAAAAGTGACTTGAATGTCAAACAAATGAAAGAAGGGTTGTCACATAGAAATTACAAATTATACTGACAGTGGTACTCTGAATGAAAGAAGAAGGCAGATTAAATGCTAAAACAGAAAAAATTCTGGACTCTGGTAAACATTTCACCAGACGACACATGAAAAAAAAATAGTTAAAAATTTTGTAACTTCTTTAATAATACAGAAATCGACTTAAAATTTGATAAGTATATTCTTGAATAGTTGTAGAATCAAGTTAAATTATTTCCAGAAAGTAGATTTTTTTGACGCAATAAAGGAGGTTCCCCCCTTCAATTCAACCACTTTTTTATTTGAAGGAGTACAATTAATTATACCCGGAAAGAAAATAAATATCCTTTTTAATGTTATAAACAAATTTTTGACGACAAAAATTTTATCATTAAGAAATTTATATATATTAACGGAAATTCAAAACAATTTTAAAAAGGTAAACACTAAAATCCATAGAAATCGTAAAACATCTAGATGTGCTCAGCAAAGTTATAACTGGATATTGCGCATGAGTGAAGTATTGCCATGAATCATAGCAATTAATAATATAAATTTCCGTTGTATACAACAAAAAAATAGAAATTCTAATAAATTTTATTCAATTTCATACAATAATTATCATTGCATTGTAATTGCATAGTAATAATATCCAAAATCAAAAAAGCATATAAAAGAAAATTTCTTCATATGTATATTTAGATCAATAAATATAGCATTTTTAGTTTTTGATTGTAATCATGTGCATCTCGTATGTTAAAATTATTGTTATTGATGTTGTCCTGTATGATTCTCCTTTTATCCTCATAATACGATACTGCTGCATTTTTAAACATTTTGTAATCAGTTAGAGCAGCGTCAAATGTTTTGTCTCTTGCCTTCCAATTTCGTTTTTGATTTCTAGCGAAATTATCAATCGGCGGATGTTTTACTTTAGATAAAAACATTATTATATAATAACTAACATAAATGTTTATAATAAACACAATAATTACTTGATATATTATAAATTTTACCTGTTCGAAAATAAGCTGGCTGACGATGTTTTTCACAATTTTTTGATGGTTTTGTTAAGAAACATGTCGTTACAAAATAATAAATTGTGAGTTACGAGAATTATTGTGTAAAGTTCTAGTTCCCCCTTTTCCTTCATAATTTGGATTAAGCCGATATTCTCCGAGGAGATAACCGCCGACTAGCCGAAACACAGGGAAAACACGGAAGCCAGAAAGGTGATCGTCGTGGGTAAGTCGTTTTGCCGATATTGTGCCAGTCGTGTCTCGCCGTTGGCATTTTCTGCTTGCCAATCGTTCGAGCAGAATTTCCTCTGAGTGAGAGAGTAAGTTCAGAGGAGTTGATATTTGTTGTTAGTCGAGCCAAGTAAAAGTTTATTAATTTAGCTTCAAAAAATTAATTGGCGTCTGACGGCGAGATTTATTTATTTAAATTTCAAATGATTGTTGTTGAAAGCGTCGGATTTTGCCTGACGTAAAGCAGAAACTTTGAACTAAAATTAAAAATAGTTTAAAATCATACGTCACAAATCTATTGCTTATTTGTTTACTAATAAAAAATAAATTAATAAGAATCAACTATCTTAATATTACATACTTTTATTATTTTAAATATAATTTGAATTACTTCTGTTATACTCAAGAACATAACAAATAATAATTATTAGTTTTATTAATAATATTGCTTTTAATCATCACATTAGATAAAAAGTAATAATAATTTTTAGAAATGCTATCCTAATAAAAAAATTGTTTGTGATTTTTCAGTTAAAAGAAAAATACATACACGCTGGACAAGCATGAGGACATCTTATGTCAAAGCACACAATAAAGGTGTTCCTTACAAGTACCAGCAGTTTATGAATTTTCTGTTACCACATATTACACATAAAAGTAATGTACAAAGTTAATGTTTGAACTCTCATATATTAAATTTAATAAATTTCTACTTTCACAAATACAATTAAATATCTTACTTCAGTTTAGAGATCTCCAGTATTAATGAGTATGATATCTCACAATCAACTCAAGGTGCATCTTTTATAACTGAGTTGAAATTATTGAAGTGCCACAGATTTGGTCAGTAAAAATGCTAAGGAGGAATTGAATGAAAATATGAATGGGTAATTCATTTTTCCTCTTCATTTTCCTCTTCATTTTCATGAATGGGTAATTCATTTTTCCTCTTCATTTTTTACTCAGTCAAATAATGAAAAAATCAGTTTCGGTTTGTTTAAAAAGAAATTATATTTTTTGAAGTATTTCATAAAACATCTCTAATATCACAGAATATTGATATTATATTCTAAACTTTACCTTACAATACTTATTCAATAAATATTATTTAAATAGCTTTTATTTAATATAAAATATGTTAGAGATATATTTCTTTTTCAAGGTAATGGGACTCAATATTATTATCTTACTTTATCACATTTTTCATTTAGTTATAAAATTTAAAAAACTTTGAATTTAATTTGCTTAAAATGTGAAAATTGTTAAATTACAGATTACATAATAATCTTCCTTCTTTGTTTATTTGCACTTTAAAATATCCAAGCTTTATGCCTATCTTACAGTAGGTTGTAACAAATTTTTAATTGTTTGACACACTGCACACAAGATGTGTATTTTAATATAATATTCTCATCGTTGCTTACCAAAATTATATACAAATTTTGTTTCAGAATATTTTGATATTTTAGTTAGTTCAATGTTATACATCTTTCAACATTTTATCCATCTCCTTAAGTATTAATTTATTGTAGGTTGCAAAATTCAAATAAAATATAATTTGGAAAAATTATCTTCTCTTTAATTTTGACTTAGTTAAAAATAACTAATTTTATAGCAAAAATTTATTCACTGATTCAAATAGTAATATTTTACTAATGATATAATTAATATTTACTAATTATTAGTTACATTCACTGTTAGGTTACGTAAAAATGACTGAAATTTATGTTAACTAATTCAATTAGTGAAAATCGACTATTTTTAAAATTATTTATTTACTATTAATTAGTGATTCTAATAATAGAATAATAGAATAAATTCTAATAATAGTGATAGAATAATTAGTTAATTTTTACTAATTGCGAAAGCAAAAAGTTATCCTCGATTTTACTAATAATTTTTTATTTTTAACTAATTCAGATTTAGAGAGTGCCCTATGTCATTTAAGCAGAAAGATATTAAAGAAGACCGCACAACAGATGTAAACAATCTTCCGACTACTTCGGCTATAGCCGATGCTATAAATAATGCAGATTTTATAGCTTACTATTTTCAACAAGGAAATACAAGTGTTTACTCCGTTTCAAGAAATTGGCGATTAAAAACTATAAAGAGAATTGAGTTAGTTTAATATCTTTTATTATTTGTGGACGTTCAAATGAAAAGGGCACTATTGGACTACATGGGCGAATTCATTGCAAAATTTGAAAAAATTTTAGTGGTCATAGAACTTTTTTTGGTGAAAAATTTGATGAGTTACAAAATTTCAAAATTTGGAACGTCAAAACCTTATTTCGTGAAAAACAGAATTAAATATTGTGATATTTCAGGTTCTGCTAGAAAGTTATTATTATAAGAATTGTTTCCAGTCTAGGACACCTTAAAGATGAAAAACCAATAGGTTATAAATTTTTCTACTGCTCCATTTTAAAATACGAAATACTTTTGCAAAGGACCGACAAAATGGGCCTTTTTCTTTTTTCTAAAGAACCAATGAAATCAAATACTTTAATTAACGATAAATTAATGAAAACCTCATGATTTGACTTGGCAAAACATGTACATTGATAATAAAAAATAAAAAAATTATGACTACTCTATAATTATTAAATTGTGGTTTTCTTGAAAAAAACTGAAAAACTGTTGGTAGAGCTGTTCGTCCAATGCGGTGAACTGCTGCGTTAAAAAGAAACGCACAGCTCACTATATTTTTGGGCGAGTTACTC